AAAGCTCTACTACGCTGTACCGGTACACCCTCTTAATGTTTTCTAGCAACATGCAGATGTTTTACAAGCAACATTTTCTGCCATCGAAAGAGCAAAAGAGCAATTTTGACCGAAAGACGAGAGAGCATAAGTTCAGCCCTTAAGCGGTGCGCTCTCAAAAGCTGTACAAGTGCACAGTGGCATCCCATGACATGGTGCCCTGCTGGACGTTGCACATCTGAACATTTTTCAAACAAAACTACTGTTCTTATGGCATATACATATGTATCCCTTATCTAATCTGAAAACAATCCGGTTGTTGCGGATGGCAGTGTGGCGGCTGCCTGGTGCTTTGATGTTGCACCAAAGCTTCCCCCTGGAGACAGAGAGAGAGACAGCGAGAGATGAGGGCTTTTTTGAAGTGTTGGCCAGCGAGCGAACGTTAGAAGACGAAGGAGCTTTTACAGCTGCTTGGCTCAACAGGAAGACGCGAAAGGAAGGACCTGGGACCCACCCCTTCAGACAACACACGTCAGAGTCCACAGCAGCAGCGGCAGCAACAGCAGCTGTCGTCACTTTTCAGAGGTTATGTGAGTTCGTGCGTGGGAGGGGATTCTGGTGCGACCCTGACAATGAGCCCTCCCTATACCCCCAACGCCCTTTTGCTCCTGTTCCATTCATTGCGAAATTACTTGGTATTCATTTAATTTAATTTGTAGCACCTTAAGCTGTTTAACTTTAACGAGTAGCCCCACAAAACGGAAACGGAACACTTTCCCACCCCGCTGAGCCAACCAGCCACCACATGTCCAGGACCTCAGTGATGTCTAGTCAGCCGCCACATGTTCTGGCCACAATGTACGTAACAGGGGTCAGGTCATAAAGCATTCACATTGTTTGCAGTGAATGGGGCACATGAGTCGGTATTTAAGTGGATTACATTTTGTTGGAAAGGCAATGCCGTGATAAGTGCATGGGTGCAAAAGGTTTAAGGTTGCAGGATGGAATAAATTGCTTTCCTTATTGAACATTTTTTAAAAATGGCGCGCTTTCTCTTGCACTTGGAAGCACTGTTCGTTTCTGACAGAGCGTGTAATGTAAAATGTAAAATGTAGAATTAATTGTTAGGGAGCATTCCTGCAGCTGAGATAAATTTGTTGGTCCTCTCTAATTTTAGCCAAGACATCAACCCACCGAAACATGACACACAAATAACAAATTATCTAGGTAATAAATAAACGTAAGAGTATACACACCTTAAAATCAATGCGACCGTCCTGCAGATAGATGTTTTATGTGTGTCTTTCCCCGAATGCCCAAGATTCCCACTGTCCAAGAAAACTTCTGCGAGGATCGGGGAGACCTCTTCGAGCCAGCAACGGAGCTGATAAGCAACGAGGGGAACAGCAAGACCTCGGCAGTATTCTGGAGGTGAACTTCTCTCTGAAGATCTCCTTCGGCCTGTGCCGTTAATTAGTCGTCTTTATTAACCGATTCTTGTGTTCTTAAATAATTTCTGTCTGAACTGGAATTAAGATAGAAATACTTGAATGACCATCGCATTTTGAAGTCGTCAGCCAGAAAGTTCTACCTCTTAAACGACTCGTCTATTGACGGCTGAATTAGTAACAAGGTGATGTTGTCACCACATCTTCTCCCATTTGAGGTAAAGCATTTGCTATTTCTTTCTAGCGCTTGTCTCTCTGAAAGCCGAGCCGAGCCGAGCCGAGAGAGGGCGTGAATAGTCCTTATTAGTCATTATATCCTCCCCTCCACCAGAGAGCGCACACTGCACGAGGAAGAGTTTGTGGGAAAGAGCGAATGAGTAAGCGCGCGTAGCGTAGGTTGAGCGTAGCCACTGCTATTCATGGCTATATCGACTCTGCTCTTGATGCTGGCGAAGAATATATGTATATACTTCATGGGGTTACAAACGGTTCGAATATCCCCCTATACTCTTTGCCTTGGAAGCTCCATGCACTTCACCACTCCTACACGCCAAGAATAATTTTGACTTACGATTATATTTAATTCGTGAAAATTACATAAATAATAAATCAAATCTATGTGTTCACATACTATGTACTTTCATGGCTCTACGTCGGCATCCTATGAATTCTGTAATGGACTGTACCGCCAGGGTTCTTCTCTGCGAGACTGAGAGCCTCGCAATACAGCTCTTCAATGAGTTTGAACCTTATCATGTTCGGTCGGTGGCAGTTGATCTGAATTGCTCCACGGAGGTCTTCGTTTCTTAGCTTTGGTTCTTCACTGCTGACACCGCCGTCCTCCTCAGAGAGTTTGCGGCGTGGCGTATGCGGTGGTACCTGAGGCCGAAAACGGTGCATTCTCCTGCCTCTTGCATCCATAGTGTTTTGGAAGTCAAGCTTCGGCTCGTCCTCTGTTCCCACATCGAGTGGGAGCTGCGGTTGCTCTTGCCCAGTGGCCCGTGTAGATCGAGGAATCGGCCTGGCTTCAGGTGTAACAAAATGGGTCATCTGCAATGGTTGGTTCGGGTTGGGGCAGAGGTTCAGCTGAATGCAGCAATTTTTACCGTACTTACGATGATAAGACAAACAATGCACAGTACAGAGAACAAACGCATGTTATGCTGATAATTTATAATACTAAGGATACTAAAACCAACCATTGATAGTAAATAGAGAGCATACTGAGCAAAGTAACGAGTGGAGTGGTGTGTATCTTATTCAAAAAATGGTATTGTATGGATGCTAAAACATCCCAGGAATTATCGATAACATCCTTATCTTATTATACATCACATAACAAGCCTGTGTACCATCCACTGTTAACTATATATGAAGATATACTTTTTTCTTAATAAAGCAAGTCCTAACCGAACCCCAGTCAGACCTTAAACATCTGCTCTCCAATTTCGACAGGAACTAGTACTTTTGAACAACCATCGTTAACTAAACGAATGCGATCTTAGTATCGCATACAAAAAACCAAAACCAGTCGCTAGGGGCGTTCAAATATCGCATATGTGTTCCACTGTAGGTACTTTGTTGTGGAGAACCCCCCATCCAAATTGCATGGGAAATAAACATTAAACAATTTATTCGAGCAAGACCAAGAGAGCCTCCTCCTTCTCACATTCCGACTCTCGTACATTTATTTAGTTTCCTATGCTATAATTATCCGTGCATTTTGTATATAGTTTGTATATACTGCAAGTGTAATTCAATTGCGACTTATGGCTAGGCTCGTGTCAGGGTACACGAGCAATTTGTTATTTCCACTATTACTTAGTTAAGGAAAACAGGAAAAAACGTAAGAAGATTTGATTTCTGTATCGCTATCGTTATCAAATTTACATAATCGGTCATTAGAAGTATTGCTTTTTTCCAAATCTCTTATGGGATACTCTCTCTCTACCGCCTTTTCTTTTGATTGAAAATAGTTGATCTATTTTTTGTTTGTTTTGTTTCTTGTTGCTTGTTTCTCGTTGGTTTGCTGTTTTGCACTTTGCATTTTGCTTGTGTACAAATATAAGGCTACGTGGAGGGGATTTGATTGGAGGAAGGAGGTATGGCTATGGGTATGGGAATGGGTATGGGTACATGGGTATGGGAGTATGTATGCCTTCTGTGTAGCTATGTTCTGTGCCAGAGTTGTTTTGAATTTACCTTTAGGTTTATGATCTTTATACAATATAATTTTATTTGGGAGCTAAAAACAAAAAAATACAACTAGTGCCCGCGCTCTGGTTGAACGCTCGAGAGGATGCACCATCCATCCCTCGAAGGTCCAGGTCCAGCACATGGCTAAAATGAAAATAAATTATCCTATCAAAGGGTAGCGAATGCGGTGGCAGGGGGCTCGTGGCCTGGCTTCTAAACTTATTCATAAACATGTTTGTGACTTATAAAAAAAAATATATATATACGAGCATATATATATACATTTATATATATGTATACTATTATACAAAACAAAAATTTTACAGGGCCTGGCAGTCCCATGGGCTCTGTGGCCGGGCAGACGGAGGAGCACTGTGTTTGTGTGTGTGTGCAGAGTGTGTGTATGGGCTCGATGGATTTACATGGCAAAAGGGTGTTTTTGTGTGGGTATGTCCTTGGTACGAGTGTTGTAATTTCATTGCTGCTAATTCACCGGTTGATCGTTGATCCTACTTCTGCGCCAGCCGTTGTTGCTGTTATTGGTTAACGATTGGCATATCTATTTGATAAAGGCCTCTGGCGGTATTTTGTTCTCCTTAAAGAGTTTTCCGAACACAAAGCCGGCATGATTATAATCCCAATTCGTCTCCTCTAGGCACCTAGAGATTGGAAATTGATTAGAAATGGACTAATCCTTGGCTCCTCCTCCGCACTTACTTGCGACTCCACTCTAGATTCATTTGACTCTGTGAACTCATGGCCTGGACCATTTGCATTTTGGTGGCATCATCTGTCGCTGATTCGGAGCTGGTAAAGACGGGCGGCGGCCCTCCGGTGGCACTGGGCACAATATTTAGGGACAATGAGGCAACTGCTGGTAAAAGTGCAACTGTGGACGCGCCGCCACCGCTTGCAGTTCCTAAACGATTCTGTAGCGAAGATCCGGATGCACCATCCATGCCCGATGCTGTGTTTCTACCGTCAGCACCAGGTGCGATACCGCCGGGAGCTGGCTGATGCTGAGATCTCTTAAACTCGCGCACCTGTTCATTCGTGGCGGCCGTAATAAAGATCGTCTCGTTGCGTATGCAGAAGCCCGAGTTTTGTGGCACCACCACAAACGTGCGCATAAAGTGGCGCAACTCGTAGGCTTGCGAGGTGGATGGTCTGTCGTCTTCGCCGCTCAGCTCCTTGAACAGCCCCGTCACGGTGAACACAATCATTTGGGGCTAAAAGGAAGTGTACAAAAATGCACAATAGAGAAGGGGGAACCGATATGTAGATGGATGGCATGATGCTCACGTTGTAAATGGTTAGATCGACGGTAAAGGTGCGCCGTTCGTGCAGCGTACGTGGCCACTCATTCAGGGTGGCCACACAGGCCAGTCGGCCGTTCTTGAGCAGCCTCGTGCGATGGTCATCGCGATCATGGTTAACAATGCGGCGAAAATTGCGATTAAACTTCCAGAAGTTGTTCAATCTGCTGTCAAATAAACGTATATAGTAGTAGGATAAAGGATGAATCTCGGTGGGTGGGACTCACCTGCCCGCGTGGCCTGCATTTGGCATTGTGATGGAAAGCATAGCATGCTCGTGATAGGCATCCAGCAGGGACTGGCGGCTCTCCATATCGAATATGTTAAAGTATTGATCCAAGAATTGGCGCACCACATCGGCACCGGCGTTGTCGCACAGAAACGAGGCCTGGGTCGTTGGCATTGTGCCGGAACCGGCCAAATCGAAGGCAACCTGCGGCCCCAGTGTTTCCCCATCCTATTATTTATTGCGTATCATGCAATCATGTAGACAGAGAGATCTAGATATTCTGGATTATCCAACACAATAGACAAGCGCACTTACCAGTTTGACCAGTTTGGGGAACTTACGTCGTACTTCGCTGTAAATAGTTTGATTGGATATGCGATAGGTTTGTGGTTCGGAATTAGCATTATGATGATGATGTGGAAATATAACAAAATGATGTAGCTTTTCTCTATTGGCGTTGCCCACTGCTCACAGCAGGTACTGGAGATGGGCCCAACCTGGGGCAGATCCTCCTCCCACCTTTAACTCCATTGGGATGTCCCGACAAACCGATAACGATTCGGCTAAAAACCGATGAATTGTTCAACTTATTGCAGGAACTTTTGAATGGGCGAAGGCACTTGCATCTATATCATCCGATTTGATATTTTGCAAAGGGGTATCCAAAAATGTGAACAGCAGCGGAACAGAACCCTTAAACATTGCACTGTGCCTTGGGCATCTTTTTTTAATTCTTTTTTTTTTTTTTTGTATATTTTTTTTTCATTTTTTCCCCTTTTTTATTGTTTTTTTTTTTTTGTATTTTTTAATTCAAATCTCAAAAAAAAATTGGTCCTGTAGCTGGCATGCAAAAAAGCTGCCTGCTACATCAGACAGAGGAAGAGGTTCGGTTCGATGCGGTTCGATCTCGTACGGTCGGTTCGATGAGCGGTGGATCGGTTCGATGTCTGCTGTTGCAGCTCGCGCCCACACACACAGCCACTCCACAGGCAACTCATGCGCCCAGGATTAGCAAAATATTATGCTTCCCCCACCCCGTAGCAATTGACGTGTTAACGCCAATTTCTCCTTGTCCCTTGTCCCTCCACCTCCACCTCCACAGCCGACCACCGCCACCACACAGACGACAACAACAGCAACAGCAACACAGCACAGTGCAACGCAACCCACACATTCGCGAACATGTGGGCTTTCACGTGCGTGCCTGCGTGTGGGTGTCCGCGCGCGTCTGTGGGTTTTCGAGACGGGGTGTGCGCATGTGGGTTGGTGTTTAATTGTTGTTGTGGTTGGCTACTAGTGTGTGCCGTTATGATGTTTCATTGTCATACCAAAATGTGCTGCATGTGGAATGTTGCCCGCACAGTGGACACACGTGTGCGCGGAGCCTCACAATAGCGTTGCCGTTTGTCGTGTCCGTGTCCGTGTCCGTCCGAAGGTCAGGTTCAGGTTCAGGTTCAGTCTTTTCTGTGTCGAACCGCTGCACCAAACCTGTTATTTCTTCTTGTACTTCTTGTTTGAGACTTGGACTTGTTCATAAATATGGGTTTTCATTTTTCTTTTTTTTTTTTTGTTTGTTCCTTTTTTTTAAGTCCGTTGCCCAAAAGCCCTGTTCTGCTGAACGGTCTGTCTTTGCTTTGCGACAGATAGCAGCCGATGATTAACAAAACCCTTGCCGCAACAAGTACATTTGCCCAGTGTCAAATACCGCTCTGAATAAAACCCGAATGATCCTTAATGATCCTCAACCAAACGGAGGGGGGGCATGGATCTGCCCTAGGATAGGGTCTCAGGACTCCAGCATACTCCAGAGCAGAGTGCAACAGCCTTGTGTAGATTCTAGGTGGAATGGGAGACAACTCAAAAAGTGGAAATGGAAATGCATGTCCTAGTCCTGTGTGTATGACTCTCGACGAGGTGTCTCCCACGTCGACTGGACGGGCACACGATGGCACGAGCGACAGCGACATCCGCTAGAAAAAGCCAAACAAGTCACAGCATAGTATACCTGACAAACTGCTGTGAGTCCTTGTAGCGCGAACGGCACGGATTGTTCCGCAATACCAGCTCCACAATTGGCAGATTACGGAACACCAGGAGGTGGGCCAGCGAGGGGAGCTGCAGAAGGGACATTACTCGATGAGGTTTGGCAGTGCCGGGTTTTGTCACTGATGCTCACCTTATTATCGCCCAAGTAGAGTATCTTGAGGTGGGGCAGGCGCTTATCGACGCGTCTGAATGCCTCCATGGACACCAGATTGTTATCATTCAGATTGAGCGCCTCCAGATCGGGTATATTGTCGCACATGATATCGAGTGCGGCACCCATCACATTGGCCCGAAACAGGGGACAGAAAACCTGCTTTATGTCGGGATCGGCGTAGAAGCGCGACATATCCAGGGCCTTGGTCTGACTGTTGTAGCGTTTTGCCATGACCTGCTTCATACGCTCCTTGAGGGCATCGTCGACGGTCGCCAGCGGAATGCCGTTGCGGACGCGCGGCGACAGGCGGAAGCCATCAGGCAACTGTGCATGTTTTCCCAGCTGTTGAATGTGCTCGGCCATGTCAAAGTCGTCCACATAGAAGCAGACGCTATCTCTCTCGGCACGCCAGTACTGGGCGTTGAACGGATGCGGAGAAAGGGCTGCCAATAAGGCACGCAATAGCACATCCTTCCCGTAAATCTGTCCATTGTGTATCTGGGGTAAGAGAGAGACAAATAGCAATGGAGATAAATACATTGTACAAAGATACGCGGAAGCGAGTCAGTGTGGATTCGTTATAGACTAGAGATAGCGACCCGAATTGTGTCATCTCTCCGCATGACTATCCCCCACAAAAGTGCCCTACTTTTGGTCTACTTATCAGTGGTATACCCTACCCCCGGATGGTCATGAGGGGCTTCATTGGAAACTAAAAGATAGCCTTAAACAGATCAGATCACAGAAGACCAACTATGAAGTCACCATGTGGAACGTCTAAACATAGCAGTCCGTTCTTCGAGGTCTGGGCTCTGCCACAATTGACGAAACAGAATCAGTAAGACTACTAAATACTTCTACTTGCAATCAAATAAATATGAGAGCAATTTTATTAGGACAACTTATCAGTGATGATGAATCGGGTATCATGTTTTTTAAGTTTATTTTGGCTTTGTTTCTCGATTTGCTTTTCTTATTCTTATCGATTTGTCGGCTATCGATATAAAACAATTAGCCATGTATCAATGAAAGGTATCCAGCATAACTTGATCAGGGATAGAGCTCTTACGATATGGAGCGTAAAAATAGTACGATTGCTATTGGCTTATATAGAACGCTGACATATCGATTAGAATACCCACTAAAGTCAATATCAGTAGGTTCTGAGCAGACTATATTAACGACGGTGCGATGGTAAGGATGATGATATGATGATGACATCTCCTTTTCACTCCTTTTCTGAAAATCAGAATGAATCTATGCATTATAATAACTAATCATGTGCGTCTACCACAACTATTGTAAGAAATCCATCACTGATCAGGGATCGAGCTGTCCAGGGGAACGAACGAGCGCAGTCGGTTGGATACTGTTCGATTTCATCGTTTATCGAAAATTGGCTTGGGGTATGGTTCGGATCCAATAGCATCCTACGTACCTGTGTACATATGTAAATGTGTGTGCAGATATTTGCATAGCATTTCCGACTCCGTGACTAGTCGTTTAATTACTTTTTTCGGCGTTATCGCCAGCACATAGTTCTGCGTCTCCCTCTCTCTCTCTATTTTTCCGTCCATCCTTGTCGGTTTCCGATTTAATTATGATTATGATGAGTGTATGGCAAACACACACACACACACACACGCACGCAGAGACAGTACACTCAGCGAAAAATGGCATAGCAAAAACAAAGAAACACCTATACTTTAATTAAGCACTCGGTTTTTAAGTAGTGTAATTGCATTTAAGAGTCTATTTTAATTTGAACATAAAACACTTTACATCGAATATTGTTATATTAAATCTGAAGCCTTTGTTGCTGTGGCTTTAACCCTCAATGGTACTGTAGGATTCGACTTGGGCTACAATTTGTACAAATCTATTATACTTCAAATGTCAGGACTCTTTTCTCTGGGTGTAGTAGAGGCAGACCGTAAGTACGAGTATACACTGTTTCGAGTTTCGGAGTTCGAAGTGGGAGTGGGAGTGGGAGTGTTGCGGACGGATAACGTGACTGCGACTGTGAAGGTCACAGCTATGAATATCGGTCACTCGGCTATTATTATATTAGTAGTATCTAATCGGTGTTTTATGACAAAGGTACATACACTCGCCAAGCAAGAATCAGTTGAATCAGTGGAGAGTAATTCAATTTATATGTTACGATCGAGTTCCGAGTACAGTCAAACAACAAACAAAGATGAGACGTCACCTCATGCACCATATTCATTTGCATAGTATATAAAAGATAAGTCTGCAATCCTCGCAACAACACCCACCCAACCACCCAACCACCCATCCACCCGCCCACTCATTCATTGCGCATTAGTGCGATAAATTCATTTATTACGGGGCATTAGTTATGATTATTTTTGTCTCCTTTGCGAGTACACACCACCGCCATTCAGCCGTTTAGACATCCAGGCATCGGCCCCAGGCCCCCTCTTAAAAACTGTTTATAGGTTTTAGTAGGAACGGCCATTGGAGGCCATAGGTTCCAATTGTATTCTGTGGATTGCCTAGAATATCAGCGTCAGAGCTTTAGAGGTTTTTCCCTGCTGAAATCGGGAACGTGAGTCGTCAGCCTGGAATGTGCATAGGCAACCCTGGCTATCGGCTGTCGGCTGTCCGCTGTCGGCGCACCTGACCTATCGGAATTTTAACCGTTAAGGGGCCACAAGGGCAGATAGACAGACAGACATATTACAAAGCCTTTTAAAAATAAAGACGATGACTGTATTCTGTATTTGGATTGGGATCGGGATTGGGGGAGTACTCGTACAATATACCTATATGTAAACCTTTTTTGTTGTATATGAATTCTCCATTGTATTCCCCACAATACGGAATACGGAATACGGAATACGAAATACAAAATACGGAATACGAGCGGAGCACTGAGACATATTTCTAGAATTGATATGGAGCTATGACGCCCCTGTCTCTGTCTCTGTTTATGCCTCTGCTCTCTGCCTCGGTCGCTGTCATCGCCGGCAGCGACGCTGTCGATGGGTTGGGGCCCGTGGGGGCCTAACAAGTGAACGAACACCGGCAAACGGAACGGAACGGCACAAAACGGCACGGCGGCATTCGATGACAGACGTGCGAAGTTGAAGCAGCAACAAAAAAAAAACAGCAGCCCACCCAGCCACCCAGCCACCCAGCCAGCCAGCAGCTGAAGCTCCAACATCCAGTAACCCAGCAGACGACAGATCACATCCAGCAAAAATGGGAGGCTGCTGCTCTAAGGACTTGGATGATAAGCGCTCCTGGAGTCCCGAGGAGACCAAAAATGGCGTAAGTACTTTTCTGTCCAGCGAGAGAGAGAGAGCGAGATGATGTACAGAGATCATCCCTTTCCCCTCTCAACCGCAGAGCACCACATCGACCATCATTGCCCAGCCCATGGATGATGTGGGTACAACCGGAGTGTTTACCCTCACACGCACCACCACGACGAGCACACAGGAGAAAACGGTGACCACCACCAGCGATGGTGACCAGGATTAGCATTAGCCAATGGATAACGGATCCATCTGCAACTACTATGTGTATAGACCCAACCCAAAGCGGAGCCATAATTATTGTATCCACAATAACATCATAATTATTTTTTTTTATACCATTTTTTTTTGTACCATTTTTGTGGTATTTCAATGCCATGTGGGGACAAGTGTGTTTGCTCGAAAGAGAAAGAATGAGTCGAGAAGTGGCGGCCTTTCCTCGAAATGTATGCGATCGAGTGCGTGTTCGGGTGCGGGCTATAGAGAGATACATATGTATGTATCTATTCGTATGTAAATATTTATGCCGAATGTATGCATGCACATAGCAGAGGGTAGACAGCCATGTGAATATATGAATTAAGTGAAGCCGTTAATTGTTATACCAGAATTGCAATTTTATACAAAAAATAAATTGTTGAATCGCCAAAATGTTTGCAATATCCGCCCAAAACCAAAACCAAAACCAAACACCAATCCCACAGCGAACTTCTAAGCAAAGGCGGCAAAATTAACGGTAAAGCAAACAAACACAAGCGCAAACAAAGGACAGGGAGACGGAGAGACAGAGAGAGAGAGAAAGATCAGGGGACAAGCAGCAGGGGCCATGCCAATTCAATTGGAGAACGAGATAAGGAGAACGATTTCAGCGGATCCAACGATCCAACGCATTGCTGGCCGATGACATCAGGCGATGCACAAAAGAACGGCACGGCAGACAACAGACGACAGACGGGCACAAGAAGCAGAGCCAGCGGAAAAGCACAAAAACAGAGAGAGAGAGAGAGAGAGAGAGACGAAAAGAGACGCGGTGGGTGGGTGCTGGGTGGTGCTGGGTGGTGGGTTCCTCCCTCTCTCCCCCCTACTGTCCATGAGTCAGTGTTCTGGTTATCAATGGATTTGAGTTTGTTGTTTTCGTTTATGGTTTAGGCCAAAATGTGACTAAGAGCCGAGCCATGAGCCATCGGCACGTGTTAGACGTCAGCGATCAGTCATTCCCGAACTTGAAAAAAAAAAACAAAACCATATTTCCCTAATGTTTAAGCCATCTCAATCCATTCAGATGATTACGGGTACAAATACATGTGTCTATTTATGCATGCATGCATTCGCATTCCCATTCGCATTGGCATTCCCATTCGGAGATGTGCATCAATTAGGGAAATGCAAATTGAATCAGTCAGCAATTACAATTTGCATTTAATACCACTTAGGCAGCGTTGCCAGACTGCTGGCTGATAATACCCTGTTTACACTAGAGCTGCGTTCTTGCGTTATTACGTTCATTTCGAAAAGACCAAAGCATAACAGACCACTGTCCAATCGCGACGTCGATTGAGCTATTCTTGCGTTTCAGGTGCATTTAATCGATTTTCTTTTATATTTCTGGACTTTTCCGCCAATTGCCATCTATCACCACTAGCAATAACGAAAAAAAGCTGTTCTTGCCGATGAAAAATGCGAGGGAAAGGGTCAAAATATACATGGAATCCTTAAAACAAATTATTTTAACCAATCGTATCTATCGTATCATAACAAGAGATTTTAGTGTACACCTGTAGCCATACGGCCATTACTGAGAATTATGATCTTGAAATTACGAGCTCGCAAAACTAAAATAAAGAATAAATTATTAAGTATAGTTTTTTAAAATGTAGTTCTTTTTATCAACCACACAAATCAACAGTCTTCATAACGCAAGACGCCATAACGCAACTTAGTGCCAATGAAAATGCCCATGATGGATTATTGCATTTGTTTCGCTAACGATAGCAAACTAGCGACGGTTATGGTCGTTTTCCACTGCTCTCAATACCGGTAAAGGGTAGTAGAAAACGACCATAATTGTGCTGTAAGTCACGCGCAAGATCGAAATATTCAGACGGGCTCCGTTTTTCACATTCACAAAAGTTTTCCGATTTACTTTTGAATACACATAAATTGGGGCTCCCGTTTTCACATTCCGCAAGATTTATTTCTTTTCAAAACGAAAACATTTTCGTTGGCGAAATGAAAAGTAAACCAAACAAACCTTAATTGCAAAATGAAAAAAATAGATGACTTATTGATGCATTAACATAAACTTGACACCTATATCAGGGTAATTTAACTTTTGCTTTCTTTATAAATAATTTAATTTTAACCCAACCTCAAATTTGGCTCGGAAAAAATTGGCCCGGGAAACAACAATTTTCGTTTTGGTGCAAACAGCAAAAATATGTGAAAAATGGGAAACCTTAAAACGAAAACGAAACGTTTTGGCGGAAAACGTAATCCGCAAAATTAAATGAAAAACTGAGCCTGCCTGATTAGTGCAGTTTTTTGTTTGTTTCATTAATATTTTTTGACACCGCCCCAAAGCCGGCAACACGAAAGTGATCTATCTTTCTGCATTATTTTCATACCCCTTGTCCCTCCAGAGGGTATACCAGTTTTAGTCACAGAATAAAAAAAAACATATATAGACTTTTCCTTGATCCATATCCGGAATACATATATCCCAATGAAGCTCTAGAACAGTTCTGCCAGGAAACAATCAGCTGATTCGGAGCACAAAAAATCTATTATAATGTGGCATTATTTATACACGACATGTATTTTGCCAACCGCTGCTGCCTCAGAAGATAGTCGGAGAAACTGTAGGGTCTCAGGAGTCGTGGACATTCAGAGCCCTGTTGCAGAACAGAATATATACCCATATACCCCATATATATAGATATCGAAGTAGATAAGATTGTGCCACAAGAGAGAACAAACACCATCGCAAGGGAGAGAGCACAACTGCGCAGATATAATCGTAAATTGGATCGTATCTCATGGATCGCTTGGATTGCTTGTATCGCTTGTATGGCACGGCAGGCAGGGCCTAAAACGAAGCGCACGAAGACCGAAGAACCAAACAAAAAGGCAAAACCAAAACCAAAACCAAAATCAAAATAAAACGAAAGTACAAATCAATTAAAGGAATTTGTGTACTGGCAACTGGACGGCAGACGACTGAGCAGACCCGACCTACAATATACTAAAAGAGACAGATACACACATTGCATATGTACATAGATAAAATAATTGAACGACCCTACAGTGACTTTTCAATCAACAGAAATGTGAATCAGAAGCGCGGAGCGAGGAGGAAGGGCAGGCCGCTATAGAACACAGAAATTGGAGCGCACCCCGAGGGACCGAGGGACCGAGGGACCGGTTCACCAGACACCAGGCCGCGATCGACGGCAAGAGGCAGCAGCGTGTCAGCAGAAACAGAAACTGAAACAGAAACTGCGGTTCGGTTCGGTTAGGAGGCGTATTCGTTGCGATTCAATTGCCGCGGTCACTCAGTGCAAAGGCAAAGCTTCGTGCAATCGGACGGACACAATGAAACAGATTCCGGGACTGCTGGGACTGGGACTGGTGCTGGCGGGACTCCTGCTAGCGGCAGGCACTTCAAATGCCCTGCCAATGACCAACGACTTGGAGCTGGTGGCTGCCTTGGATGCCATGGAGCCAGCAGCAGCCGCCGCACAGCCATCGCACATTTCACGCATCGCGGCAAGGGGCGAGGCAACAGCCGAGGGCGAGGATCGACCGGAGCTGTTCAACACCATTGTGCAGGAGCTGAAGGCAGCGGGAGTCTACACGGCCGAGCGCCAGGATCTGCACACACTCAGCTACAAGGAGCTCACCCGCCTCCTGGCCCTGTGGCACCTCTCGTCGGGACGGAACTATTACGAGGCGAGTCCTGCCCCCGAAATCGTCGGGTGAAGCCGTCGCTCTTTTGTGTTTTGTTTGCTCATTTTTTATTATTGTGAAATTCCGTGTTGCCAAAAGTTTATTATGAAATAAAGAAAGAAACTGCTGCGCTACGCCACATCCTTCTGCCTCTCCCACTCGATCTGGTCGAGTCGCGGCGGTGCCACCACTGCGATGCCCCCGATCTCCGAGCTGGTGCCGGTCACGACCAGCCGTGGCATCTGACGCCGCTGCAGCCGCTTGGCCAATGGCGGCACAAACAGATCGTGCTTGATCATTGTGCACTCTGCGTCCTGGTAGATGCGACGGTTGTCGTCCCACCTAAGCAGCGCACACAGCCAGGAGAGCAGCCAGCCCCCGAAGAAGGCCACCAGAAAGCCCAGGGCGGCGTACCACATGTAGCTGATCCTGTACAAGTAAAAGTAGTGCTCGTCCTGCTGCTGCTCCTCCACCTTTGAGAAGAATGCGTCCCTTGCGTAGGTTCTATCAATCGGACATCCCTCCGTGGACATGGGCAGGCTGACCAGCGGCGGCCTCGGCTGCCCGAATCCGATCCAGAAGCACAGAACCAACGAAATGAGCAACCCACCGATGGCCCCCTTCTGATTGGCCGACGTCACATACATGCCCAGGGTGAAGAGGCCCAGCAGCGGTCCCCCGACGATCCCGAATATGGAGAGGGCCGCCTGCAGCAGTCCCCCAATGGAGCCGGCCATGAAGGCCAGCCCGATGCACAGCAAGCCATAGAAGACGGACAGAAGTTTCGAGTACCACAAGGTCTGGCGGTCCGTCAGGGTGCCGCCACGACTGGAGCAGCACTTGTACAGCGGCTTGAGGTAGTCCTCCAGGGTGACGGCCGCCAGGGAGCTGATGATCGAGCTAATGGTGGAGAGGCTCGCACAGAAGATCCCCGACACAAAGAGCCCGGCCAGGCCGGTGTACTCGCCCATGGTGTCCACCACGAACAGCGGCATCACCTGGTCGCGCGAATTGACGCGTCCCTCCAGCACAGGATCGCAGTCGCGGTAGTACCAGTAGATGCACAGCCCGGAGAAGCAGGTGCTCAGGCTGAGCAGGCACAGGATGGGCAGGCACCACCAGAGCGCCGCCCGGGCAGAGCTCAGATTGCGAACGGCCAGCAGGCGCTGCACCTGGGCCTGATTGACGCCATAGATGGCCAGGTAGGTGGCACAGCCGCCTAGGATCTGGGTGAACCACGTATGCCGCTCCGTTGGATCCACACTAAAGTTGGTAAAATCGATGCGTCCGTTCTCCTGCGCTGTGCGCCAGATCTCCCCGAGGCTGCCCGCCTTTACCCAGGCACAGATGATCACACTGAAGACGGCGACAAACATCAGCACCGACTGATAGATGTCGGTCACGAGCACGGCCTTCATGCCGCCAATCGTGGCATAGAAGGTGCAGACGACGCCCACAATCACAATGGAGAAGATCTGATTGACGCCCGTGACGGCCTCCAGGGCCAGGGCCGGGGCGTACACCACAATGCCCATGTAGAGGATCATCTGTAGTGAAAAGCTTACGGAGGCGGCCAATCGGGTGGCATAGCCGAATCTCAGCTCCAGATACTCGTACACACTGGCCGTCTTCAAGCGATAGAAGACCGGCAGGATGAGGTAGGCGGCAATGGGCGTGGATACCACGTACGACAGATTGATGATCACGAACATTGTCCCGAACTGATAGTTCTCCATCGATACGCCCAGAATGGTGATGGCCGACATGAAGCTGGCCATCAGACTAAACGCCACCGGGGTGACGCCCATCGAGCGACCAGCCAGCAGGTACTCCGTGGTGGTGCTCTGCCTCTTGCCCGCGAATCGGTAGTAGAGGCCAATCAGCACGGAGATGATGAGCACCACCGCCAGGATGGCATAGTCCCAGGCTCCCAAAGTGGCTTCCATTTCTTCCTCTCTCTCTCTCTTGCGATTGGGGTTTGGGGGCTTCGTATCTAATCGCACATCTAATCACTCCCGGGTGTGATAAGTGGATGGCTGTATGTCTGGGGTCTGCCACGCCGGCCTCTAATCGTGCCTCTTGAGATTCCAGGCAGCGCGCGCGCACAGTTTCACAGTCTTTAGCGTTTGCCGGCTGTCGATGAAATGAAGTCAGTGCCCACTGGCCAGAGCTCTGTTCTGTTCCGTTCTGTTCTACTGCTGCTTAGCGGGCCTAAAGGAGCACCGTCAGCATAGGGTTTGTGCCAAACTGCTTTCTACCTGGGTTTTTTTTGTTGTTTCTCGTGTTTTTATGACACCGCCGAGAGAGATAGCAACGTGTGGTGCAAGGTGGTGGGAGGAATAGCACGCACACAGTGTAGCCGAAGGTTACTGGCCCACCAGAGCCCCACAGAGGGAATACCTACAGCACCACAGACAGGCTCCGGTATGGTTCTATATATTTCGGAAGAATCTGCTAATGCCACGACGGCTCCCAATGCTGGGGACCCTCTACTGGCGGCAGGCACTGTGCCCCGACCCGGCCCGTCCAGCCATAAATATTTATTTGCTTGCTTGCAATTGTAATTGTTGTGGCTCCGCCCCTCCCCTCACCCCGCACAACGTGTCTGCTATTGAGATTTTGTTGTTTACGGGTTTTACGATTGAAATTAATTAATAAACGCAAACGACCACAAACCGGGGAACGGAGAGTCGCGAGATGCCCAGACGCCAGGGCTAAATCGAAAACGAACACCGCTGATAAATGGATGGATAAACATGGACACATGCGCCACCAGTCCAGTCCACAAGCGTCGCATGGATGTTGCGAATTCCAAGAATCTATTCTCGAGCAGACATCGGACACCGTCACATGCGTGTGCATGCGATAAGCATGTTATGAGAGATCCGCAATAGTTTTGATTACGTTTTAGCACATAAATCTGTATGCTGGAAAATTGCTAGTTCCAAGTCGTCCACATACGATACATAGTTTATAGTACACAGATATCTATATGGTTGTCGTTCTCGCTATATGGATAACCACTTAATGGCTAATGGCTTGTCTGGCTGGCTGGCCTAGGACTTACCGTCACTTGATACCATCCAAAGGTGTTGGGCATCAGTTTGCCAAATTTGCCCCGTGGAATCGGTGATCCTCGACGGCGCAGAGCATTACGATCCTACACGGAGAGAGAAAGAGAGAGTCAATGAATAAATACAGATCCAATGCGAGTCGTGGTGGAAGGTTGATCTTACTTTGGCTGCTGTTGTCATTTCATTCATGTCATCGTCCTCATCCCAACGACGCAAGTCTTCCATGCGCAATTTTATATCCTTTTTGTGTGGGAATTGTGGAGGCTTGAAACTGACACGCCTCTTGTTGCGATCCTTGCGACGTTGCATATCATCGCCATCGGCTAAATTGCACAATTTGTATATGTGTGTATTTCCACTGGTATATAATATTTTGCTTTGCGATTTCCACTCACCATCAAAATCTTTCAGGGCAGAGTAACGCGAGCCGCCACCGCCGCCATTGCCAACATTGTTATTATTGTAACGCTGGCTGCCTCCGCCGCCGCCGCCACCACCACCGCGCTTAGGCATTGTTGTTTTCCACAGAAAATTTTTTTTTTTTGAGCACCCGTACACGTTGTTTTGGACCGCTGCTGCCTCGCAATCTATCTGTGTTGTTGTTGTTGTTGTTGTTGCTTAGTGTGGAATTGTTCTGGTGTCTTTTTCTTTCCTTTTTGTGTGCCAAATGCCAGACTAAAAAATTTTTTTTTTTTGAGCACCCGTACACGTTGTTTTGGACCGCTGCTGCCTCGCAATCTATCTGTGTTGTTGTTGTTGTTGTTGTTGTTGCATAGTGTGGAATTGTTCTGGTGTCTTTTTCTTTCCTTTTTGTGTGCCAAATGCCAGACTAAACAATACGCGCTCTCTTAGCTGTGCCTTAAACGCGTTTATAATTCCGTATAGTATATGTTTTATCCACTTTCGATGCCGTAATGGCACTTAGTACGATATTTTGGATAATGAAAATGTTTTTCCTAGCATAAAGTCTATGCCATAGACACAAAAAAAAAATTAAACAACGCAATTTCATGAAATTTTTTAAGGATGTATCGATACATTTCATTTGCACATACTGCAAAATATAGGTAGGTAGGTATCCATCGATAGTTGAGTAATCTCAATAGCTCATTTTCCCTGGCCACTAACCAAGTACATGATGAAATTATACAATGTATACATAAAATAGAGTTAATACATGAACAGGCCATTCATCGTTAATAAATAAATAAATAAAATGATATTTGATAAAATCGCACAATACTATCATATAACAAATAAAATTAATGTACATATCGATATAATATAAACAGTCCTAATCGATACACTAAACATCACCAAGTGGAGTCCAAGGGGAGTTAATATCATTTTCAATATGCCCGACCGCAAGTGTTCCTTCAAAATAAGCTTGGCCGAGTCCGAAGATAAATTGATTGAGACATTGAGCAATCTGCTGAGGCGTTGCTCCGAGCAAGCGAAAGATAGGAAGGCGACTTTCAGCATTGGCCTCTCAGGTGAGGATCCGATCGAGTCGATCTGAGTGTGTGCCTGTGTGTGTGTGCGTTGATAAGCTCAACTTAAGGTGACCTTGTCAGGTGTTTAAATGGTCTTTCATTCAAAAATGCCAACTATTTCTCCATGATCAGGTGGCTCCCTGGTGCAGCTACTGACAAAAGCCCTGAGGAAAAGTACTCTGGACACAAGCAACTGGGAGTTCTTCTTCTGCGATGAACGCTATGTGGCTGATGATCACAGCGATTCCACATTTTGCGCCTATAGAACCGAGTGGCTGAGCCAGCTACCGTCGATTTTGGACTCGCAGTTTGTCAAGGCTGATACCACCAAGCTGCTGGATGAATGTGCCGCCGATTACGAGGCGAGAGTAAAGGTCAAACTTGGCAATAGTCACAGTGTTCCACAATTCGATTTGTTGCTGCTGGGTATGGGGCCGGATGGCCACACCTGCTCCTTGTTCCCTGAGCAGCCTGCCACGCTCGAGGAGACCTCTCGCCTGGTGATTCCCATCCGAAATTCTCCAAAGCCTCCGCCCGAGCGCATCACGTTTACTCTGCCGCTGATCAACAATGCCAGGGATGTGGCGTTTGTGGTGACCGGCGCCAGCAAATCGGATGTTGTGAAGGTGGGAGCAATGGGGGACTCAATATGATTTACTACATTTAATAATGGCGTTTTTAATTGCAGCGCGTGTTCGTGGATCAGGACAAACAGTTTCCCGCTGCATGGGTAGATCCCACAAATGGCCAGCTGACCTTAATTGTTGATGCGGGAGCTGGATCACAGATTATTTCGTAATTTGTATTGCGTTTTTGTAAATAATACATTTTTATTATTTTTAATTTGTAGTTTAAATTGCTTGAGCGGGAGCTATCGGCTCGGATGCGATATTTTTACTATTATGAATATCGATGTATGGCTTAGTGTGGCCTTGCTTGGAAATGTAAGAAATCCTTTTATAATATGACCGCATTCAAAATAGTAATAAATCCCACACAGTGGTTAAACAAAAAAAATTATTAAAAAAATTAAGGAAATGCAGTAGCAGCGGCAATAATTTGTAAATGCACATATGCAATAACAATCCACATCCACGCCCAAACCACAGCAATGGCCGCCTCAGCCCAACCAGTGCCAGCGGGCGGCAGCTTCGATTTCGATGCTGAGATTGTCTGCCGAATTTGCCTGCGCAGTGTGGCGGTGGGCGAGGAGATGCACTTCATCTACGACGAGGCGCCTGTGGAGCAGGGAGCCAATCTCGTCCAGATACTAAACGAGTGCACGCGCTACACCTGCGACCGATTCGACGACAAGATGCCGCATAAAATGTGCGACCTGTGCATCAAGGCGGCCCGCCACGCCTACCGTTTCAAGCGCGATGCGGAAAAGTCCTATTGCTCGCTGATGACACTACTGGGGCGCACACTCAGCAGCATCAGCAGCGATGTGTGCACTCAAACAGAGCAGGTGGCCCTCCTGCCCTGCGAAATGTGCCACGACCAGTTCCTGAACAGCCTGGAGCTGCGCCTGCACAGGAATAGGGTGCACAAAACAAGAGACAGCGGCACCGGCATCGGCACCAGCACCGGCACCAGTACCAGTCTTAGTGCTAGTGAAGGGGTGGCGGCGGTGGTCCAGCAGCTCAAGTGTAAATTCTGCCCGCAACATTTCCCGCATCTGCGTCAGCTCAGAGCGCATCTAGCACGGTGTCATAACCAAACTGAGCGTCTCCAGTGTCCCCACTGCCAATCAGCCTTCACCCGCAGGGATCACATGCTTCGTCACATACGCAATATACACAAACAAGAGTCAGATAGCACCTGGCCGCTGGAGGACGAGGCGACAATGCAGAGCTCTGCCGGCGATGAGCTCGTTTCGGCCGAGGTCCTGCTCAACGAAGACGAGAATGATGAGGGCGATGCCTATCAGTGCAATATCAATCCCATATCCAGCAATGAGGAAGAGGACGAGGTCAATGACGAGGCCAAGAAAGAGTTGTGGCTGCACATTAAGCCGGAGCCCTGCCTGGAAGCCGAAGATCTTGACCTGAAGCTCGAGAAGAAGCTCCGCCGGCGGAAAGAGAAGACTGAAACCGAGGAGCGGCAAACATCTACCGATGCCGCCGCTGTTAAAGGTGAGCGGCTAAACATTCCTAGAGCATGGATTTAATCAACTTTTCTCCAGATGAACCTTTGCCCAGCACAGAGCCAACTCAGACGACGCTGCACATCAAAGAGGAAAGCCAGCCGGCGGCTGGCAGCGTGGATGAGCCTGAAGGACGGCACGAAGATGAATTCATAGAAGACCCCAGCCGCCCTGGGGGGGAGGAGGATTTGCCTCTCAGTGATGAAGAGGAGGGGGAGGAGGAGGAGGAGGAGGACGAAGAGCAATACGACTTTGGGGATGGGGATGAGGAGAGCGACCTGGATGACGAGGACAACGATGAGGATGATGGAGAAGACGATGATGCCCCTCCAGGAGGCGTAGACAAATCCAAGTTAGATATCATGAGGGATTATCTGAGAAAATCAAAGCCCACAAAGCGACGACGTCGCAACAAACAGAGTGGAGAACCCAATCCGGAGAATCGCTGCGATGTCTGTCAAAGGACGTTCTCCCGCCACTGCCACCTGCTGCGGCACAAGCTCTCTCACCTGGAGAAGAAGCCGCACAGCTGTCCGCAGTGCCCCAAGGCATTTGCACGCAGCGACCATCTGAAGGCCCATGTCCAGAGCCTGCACAGTAACAAGGAGCACAAATGTACCCTATGCGAAGCAGCCTTTGCTCGCCCCGAGGCTCTCGAGCGGCACAAGGTGAGCAAGCATAATGGCGAGGGCCTGGAGGCGGGCAGCGAACTGAAGCTCCAGCTGGCGGAGCACACCTGCGAATACTGCTCGAAGCGTTTCTCCAGCAAAACGTACCTGCGCAAGCACACGCTGCTCCACACCGATTTTCTGTACGCCTGCAAGAGCTGCGAGGAAACCTTCAAGGAGCGCCAGCAGCTGCGCGAGCATGAGAAGAGCCACACTGGTCAGCGTAATTTCCTGTGCTGCATCTGTGGCGATAGCTTTGCCCGCAACGATTACCTGAGGGTGCACATGCGGCGGCATAATGGCGAGAAGCCGTACAAGTGCCGCTACTGTGTGAAGGCCTTTCCCCGGGCCACCGATCTCAAGGTGCACGAGCGGTAAGTGAAGCCTCCTGTCCTCCTGTCCTCCTGTCCTGGCTACAAATGATCCCTCGATGATCGAACCTCTGTTCCTTCCTTCCTTGCTTGCTTCCCTCCAGGTATCACACGGGCACCAAGCCCAATCTGTGCAATACGTGCGGCAAGAGCTTCCATCGGGCCTACAATCTAACCATCCACATGCGCACCCACACGGGCGAGCGGCCGTACAAGTGCGACCAGTGCCCGAAGAGCTTCACACAGAGCAATGACCTCAAGGCCCACATACGTCGGCACACGGGCGAGCGGTACAAGTGTCCGCACTGCGATGCCTACTTCCTGCAGCTGTACAACATGAGGAACCACTGCCTGAGTGCCCACAACAAGCATATCGAAACGAAGACGGGTCGGCTGCAGCGTACAGGTCTCCTCGAGGAAGGCACTCAATCCCATCTGACCACTGTCGTGATGCCCCCCGTTCGCTATCAGTCGTCGGCGTCGACCGGGCAGGATCCCAACCAAATGGAGCAACAAATGGGAGGCCCTGTGGCTGTAATGGGTACGGGAGTCGAGAGCTCGTCAACCACCATCATTCATAACCACTCGCTGCCAGAGGCCGCCTCGGCGTACCATGCCTCGCCCGTGACCACAGGGGCTGTGCCCACAACATCGCCATCGGCCACTCTAGATGGGGCCGCCTATGCACCGGCCCCGGCGCCGCCAACGCCTGTGAATGCAGCACCTTTTGGCGCCTTCAATTTTCCCCCCGTCGTTGTGGGTAAGCTTTAAATGTGTTTCAAGAGCTTGTGCCTTTAAAGCAAATATGTATTTCCTCCTCTCTGCTTGCAGCGCATCTATTGTACAATCATGCTGGTGGCAGCCAGCACAGTCAGAGCGGCAGTGAGACTGGTAAATAGCTGCAAAGCTGCTGCTACTCCCACAGCCACTGGCACTCCATCAGCAGAGCAAACACAACTATTATTCCAGTGCAATCTTATGTTCCCCGCTGTACAGGATTTCAGAGAGACGACTGCATCATGGAAGTTGCTGGGAAGCAACTTTTTTTTGTTTTAGAATTTTATGTGATAAGAACAACTAGTGTAAGAGCCCAGATTACATCACATGGAATGTAGCACAACACACACCACCACCCCCACCCCTCACCCAGTAAATGGATGTATTTTATAAATGCCTATTATTATTATTATCATATTTGGGACAGAATTGCCATAGAAAATGGAACGATCGTAAAGAGAATTACAGACTCTCAAGCGACTTTGAGCAGATGTTTTTGCCCTACACTACACATCTATATTTTTTTTGTTTAATTAACTATTGTCTGCTACTTATATTTATTTAGATAAAAATAATACAGAATTATTCCTCCGAGTTCCATATTATTATTATCTTAGTCCATATTTAGCAGATAACTATTAATGAACTAAATAAATATCCCATATCCCACTCGCATATTATACAGGTCGACAAAATCAAGCTTCTGTTTCACTTTCTGTTTACTGTAGGCCTACATTCGTTTTATAGTATAGAAATTATCTTAGGCCACCATCTAGCTAAGTGGAGGACCTATTTATTTGTATACATTTTTTGTATTTGAGTCCCAAGACCCCCCCAATCAGAGACTTGCAATTTTTCATTCAATTTGTGAATCGTCTCTTCTAAAACATGCACGAAAAAAAAAAAATTCTATAGCATGCATTTATTTTAGTACAGAAAATAAGTGAATGATCGTAAACAAATGATTTCTTATATGATCTTATTTCGTGTGAATCTTTAGAGCTGTTCAATCTGTACAATTGTGCTGTAATTTCACATACAAAATGCACCTTGCATAGCGAAATCGTTTGGCAAAGTGATCGTAAGCGACAAAAACTAAAAGTTATATTCTATTCCAATAGATTATGTTTTAAGGGCTCATTTCGCAACTGATAGGGACGAGACGTTCTTCAAAATCAGTGGCCGCTGCTCTCTTAAAAGTTATTCAAAATTTCTAGAAATATGCCAGTATCTTAGAAAAGCGGCCATCTGTGTAGACCTGCAGCAAACTCACTGTCGTCCCGTATTATTGATCAGGAAGCTAAACCTCTTCTCTTTTCGTCTCCTTCTCTTTGCTTATCATATTTTTACATCTCTGGCTGCCATTGGAATGAGTCTTTTTACTGTAGATAAGCCAACCGAAATGCCTACTCATATTCATGCACATATATTTTACTATTATTATTATTATTATATAAATGTTTAAAGCTACAATGTAGTGGAAACTAGGCGCTATCGGCGAGGCTCGAGTCGGGAAGCAATCATCAACTTTGTGCATTTTGTTGTTGGATTCTCGGTGCCGAGACTCACTCGCGAGGACCTTTTTTCGCACATTTCGCACATATGTATATAAACCCAGTTCTTGAAGGGTATAGGGGTATATTAGGTTTGTGGTGAAGTGGATGTGTGTAACACCCAGAAGGAAGTGTTTTCGACCCCATAAAGTATATGAATAGCATCAATAGCCGAGCCGATGTGCGCCTAGATCGTAGACTCTATAAGAGCTAGATCAACCAAATTTTGTATCCAGACTCCTGTGATATCACACTGTTACAAGTGTATTTCGAAATTTCGCCCCACCCCCTTCCACCTCCACCAAGGACGAAGAGCAAATAGCAATAGCAGATCGGATCATTATTATAGCCAGAAGGAACAAATGGAATTTCAGAGCTTACTCATACTCGCTCTCTCTCTCTCTCTCTGTCTCTCTCTAACACACACCTTTCTCATGCAGTGTGCGTGATAAGGCGGAAGGGAGTAAATTGGAGAAAAAGAGACATATCAAAAACTACCAAGCGGTTCGACCGATTTTTATGGCCCACGCCGCGGATTCTCGAGCTCGAAAAGCACTCACACAGGTGCGTTGCGTACCATACACGGCATGCATTTTGTTTTTGCTTTCTCTTTTCTCACTGGTGCCGGAAAGTGAGATTTTAGAATACAAAAAGTGCTTTCTGGCATCAAAATAACTGTGGAGTATTCCCCAACTCCATCAAGGCCTCAGCGGTTCGGTCAATCCAGTGTTCCTATATTAAGGATAGTTCAAATTCAAATAGACGACTATCTTTTGCTTGTGTGGTTCGGTTGTCCTTCTTGAAGATAATTTTATTTTATTGGGCCAACATCGAAAATAAATGAAACAGAGATAAACAGATAAAGGTACAAAAAATAAAATCAAACATAAAACGCAAATAAAAATTCCAAAATATAGGTACATTTTAGTAGTAATTTCGATAGATAATTCATCGTGGATTCGGCCACATGCGACTTTCACGTGGCGACGGGAGCTTCAATTGATTGCCAAATCGAGGCCTCTCCTCCTGATTGACCGCCTGCTTTGACGGTGTGTTGGCGGCCGACAACACCGAATTGTGGTTTACGAGGACATGGCGAATTCGTGGCACAGCCACGCGATTGCGCTGACGCTGAGCCCCGCCGACGGGCAGCACTGAGGAGCGACTCGTGGGCACAAATTCGTCATAGGAGATCCCGGCTTCGCGGTCATTTTCAGTGGTCTCATCGGTCATATACTCGGAATCGCTGGGCGATCTTGTATCCGGCACCGCTGATTTTGTGCGTGGCTTCTTGTTCGAGCGTGTGCCAAGGCTGCGTCTGCCCAATCCCCCGCTGCGACGCAATGTGTTGTCCAGGACGCGGACCCGCTTTAGTGGCGACTTGGACGCCTTCACTTGGCTGTTGGCCAGCCGCTGTGCGGTAGACGGCGACGGGCGTATCGAATTCAGAGAGCTCATGAGGCTGCGCTTGGCGTTGGGAGTCCGATACCCCGAAGAGCTGGCGGCTGCTGATGGATTCAGTCGCTTGTGCAGATTCCCAGTGCTCTTGGTCATATTGGGAGTGATCAGCTGGATTGTTGGGGTCTTGCGCAACGACATTGTCGAGGTCGACATTGAGGACATGTTCTTCAAAGTTCGGGGCGTGCGAGGGGCCGTTGAACCGGCAGTCGGCGGTGGCATCATCAATTTGCTGCTGCTGCCCGTCCTCGTGGTGGGCGGGGCCTTCTTGCGGGCCGAGCTCTGCTTGGCCTGGCGATAGTTCTCCCATTCGCCAGCCATCAGCTCCAGTATGTTCTCGCCATAAACCAGAAACGGGCCATGCGATTGCGCCTCATAGGCGTGCACCAGTTCAGTGATCTGCTGCTCAATCTTGGGCAGCTTCGAGCTGATGGCTTTGCGTTCCTTTTCCTCTTTAAGGAGCTGGCCGCCACGATTGTTGAAACGATTCGGCTCGTTGGCCTTTGCCTCTAGAGCCTGCATGCGCGACCAAAGTTCTGCACGGCTCTCGTACAGATCGAAAATATCCTTGTTGCACGTGTAGAAGCTCTTCAGATCATCCAGCTCCAGCTCGTGCAGCTCCAACAAGTCTTCGTTGTAATACTTATTGTAGTAGTTGGAGAAACGCTTGCGCTCCTGCTGGCTCTTGAGCGTTAGATCCCACCACTTGCTTATCTCGACGCGCAGCTGCTCGATGAACGTCTTGAGGTTCTGGCTGCGCAGTGCCTGGCAGCGCTGCAGCTCCGAATGGAGGATGTCATAGGTGCGCTGCGTATTCTCGGTGCACTCGCGTACTCGTCGCATGGCGCTCTCGTCCGTCTCCTGGAGGCGATCCCACAGCACGTAGATCTTCTCGCGCATGTCATGGATTTTGGAGCGCAGCTCCTGGATCTGCTCGGCATAACTGTTGCGCATCTGCCGCAGCCGCTCAAGTGTCTCTGGTGTTAGATTGTGGCTCAAATCGTTCAGTAGGCGATCCTCTGCATCGGTCTGGGGCATCAGCTCGAGCATCTTCATGTCATGCTTGATGGCCTTGCGCAGCTGGTCCAGCTCCGTCTGGCGCACTGCGCGCTGAGAGCGCAGGTTGTCGAGATGGTCGCGAAAGCCGTCCATCTCATCGGGCAGGGGCAGCGGGTCCGCCAGTAGAGGGAGCGGCAGTGCGCCCAGCTCTTCGCAGAGCTGCTCCTGCTGGAGCAACAGCTCCCCGATCTCCGCCCGACGTTTCGAGAGCTCCTCGCGCAGATGCTCAATGCTTTTGTCCAGCTTCAGCTGCCATATGATCAGTGGCACATCGTCGGGCCTCTCACCAATGTCCACCGTCTCATGGAGGAGTCGGGTGAGGTCGGTGGCCTCGGCTCGGAGTGCTGCTATGTCATCCAGGATGGCCGCCTGCTTCTCCCGCGACTCGGTCAGCAGATCCGTATAGAAATTATCCGCGTGCGCCTTGAGTTTGTGCAGAAAGTCTTTGCATGTCTTCGGCTCGAACATGAGGGACCACATTGAATGGAGCTGCTCCACATGCTCGCCAGTCATCTCAAGGATCTCTCCCTTGATGGAGGTTGGGTCAACCATAGCCAATAGGAATGGGTCTTGTATTCGCGAATGGAAGGAATTTATGTGATGTGTGCAGGATTTCAATTGCACAATGTGTTGCTCAAATGCCTCCGCACAGATAATTGACGCCTCTCGTGTTGGCACAAATTGCACAATGAAAATTTTGTGTGCTTGATTTGCCTCATGCCTCAAAGCACAAAACAAGTTGATTCTGATTGACGTGCGGCCAAAAAAACACCAACTATATATTGAAAATAAGTTCCTTCAAGGTTTTCCAGTTGTAAAGATAATTTAGGATGAGAAATGTGTTTACTAAAGCAGAATGCCACCGCACAGACGCGAATGACGCCAGACAAAATTTCGGTAAATTCAAAATGAAATGGCGGCGGCTGCAGTGCTGCCACCCGATTTTTAATATTGCTATTCATGGTGAATGGCAGATACTGAAAAAAGTGTGGCCATCGATAAAATACCGCTTTCTGCCAATTATTAGATGGCAGTACCAATGAAACAAAAAGAAACGAAGCCGGCTAGGGAAAATTGGCTTACATACGAAAGTATTATTAATTCTAAAAATTAGTGAATTAACAGTGATTGTATTCATTATGGAAAAAAAAACCAAGAACTGTTTGGTATTTTGCAAAGGTGTCTTAAATATTGAAATGTGCGTGTGGTGTGTGACCCGACCAAGAAGACAAATTGCCAAGGAACATGCTACAAAGCAGGATCGGCAAAGTTTACTTGCTGGCGTAATTATTTTTGTTTGTTAATAAGCTATAACAGTATGTATCAGTCAAAAAATAATATAAAAAAGTAGTTAAAATGCCGTTGAATTTTTGAACAAATGGCTGCCAGACCTGGCCGTTTAGAAGGCCGCTCTGCAAATATACTAAAAAAAAAATAAAAATACTTCAAGCTCGGTCACACCGAGCTCGGACTGCATCCCTCGAAAAATTGACAGCAAATTTTTGCTTACCTGTGTGAAAAAAGTAAATTTTCGTGCAATTTTTGTAGGAGTTTTTGTGTTTGCAAAAGCGTGCATGGCTCAGTAGTGTTTTAAAAATGCACTAAATAAATTTTCAATATGGTTTAATCGAGTCACGGAATGTGGGAACAATCGTTGTTCTACTTCTCTAAATAACACACGCATACAAAGACACGCCGCCGAGTGTCAACAGCTGCCCTGGCCCTGGCCGCCCGCCGTCAAAATGTCGGACATTAAGTAAGTAGCCTGCACAAGGGGGAAAATTCAAGTGTGAAGAGGAGCCGCAGTCGATTAATTGATTATCAAATGTCCCATATCTCAGTAAAAAAGAAAAGTTCCCAGCTAGCGAATGTGAGCGTGTGTTTGGTGAAAGGAGGGCCTAAAGGATGAGGTCTTGATGTTCCTCTATGTATAACACATTCAAGGTGTTTTTGTGAGAGTGCGTGGGTGTGTGTGGGTGCAGGAGTGTGTGCAGAAGTTAGTGGAATCTCATGTCCGTCCCAACAAATGCAATGAGTTTTGTTGTTTTTTTTTTGTTTATTTTTCTTTTATTTATAAAAGTAACTATAAAACGGGACTTTATTTAATATTAAAATTGACATGTGTGTGTGTGTGTGGGGGGGCTGCGGAGGACGATACTCCTTGAAGATGATTTTCAATTAAACCTATTCTGGAATTTGCAGCGATGATTTGCTTAACTACGAACTGGGCGACGACATCGATGATCAGGCCTTGCTTGGTGCCGATGAGGATGAGCTGCTCCTCTCGGATGAAGGTAAGTTGCAGTCCCGTCCAGTCCCGGCCAGGCTATCCGGCAAACACTGAAATGTGGAGATAATAATCGAATCGGATCTATTACAGAGCTGGAAAAAGATGTCACTAGCGAGGTGAAGCAACAAATGCGCGCCGAGGCCGAGGAATGGGCCCAGGAGCAACTGCGTCAGCATGAGCGCAAGCAAAAAGCACAGTCAGCCGCCTCAGTTGAGGCAGCAGCATCAGCGCCCGTAGCAGAAGCAGCAGCAACAACAGCAGCTGCAGTAGCTGATGTGGAAACTAAACCCTCCATTGTGGCCGCAAAGGTTTCCACATCGACGCAAAGTCCAACTACCGTGGTGGCTCCTGCCCCAAGCGTCCAGACAGACGACACAGTAGTCGCTGTAGTTGCGGAAACCACTCCCCCGACAGCAGTGGCTGACGAGAAGGTTACAGAAGAGAAAAGCGCGGAACAAGTGCAGCCACAGTCAAAGAAGGAAGCCACGCCACCCACTCAGCCGAGTGGCAGTAGCAAGGCCAGCGCCAGTGCCAAGGCCAGCACAACTACTAGCATCAGCACCAAAGAGACATCATCCAGAGATGCTGGGGATTCTACAGCCAAGCAGAGCGAGGCAGATAGTGAGAGTGAACCCGGACTGGGGCTGGGAACTTCTTCTTTGCTGGCCTCATCCCAGGAGAGCCTGCCCAGTGGCAGTTCTGCCTCCGAGCTGGCCGATCTGCGTGAGGATGAGGAGGAGCGTGAGGAGCGCACCAACTACAAGACTGGCAGTGAGCGGGTCGAAAGCAGTCACAGGCAGCATCAGGAGCAGTCCCATTCGATGTCGCCATTTCAGCAGCATCAGCAAATGCAGAGGCGACACCAAAACCATTCAGGTAAGGGTCCACGTCAGGAAGTGCCATGTCCCTGAATGAAACTACAAAATAATCGATTTACAGACAAATCACGAGTGGGAGGCGGTGGACGATTCATGCACGGCCAGCAGCAACAGCCGCAGAATCAAATGGGAAAACCGCTGAGAGGGATGGGCGGCGCACGTCATCACCTGCTGCGCAATCCCACGCCCATGTTCGGGGTAATGCAACAGCAGCAGCAGCAGCGCATGGGAATGTCCGGGATGCCGCCGCCACAGCAACGATACGGCATGCCGGGTAAGGCTTCTGTTCCATCCCTCCCCCCCCCAAACCACATCCAACCATATCCATGCATCCATGCGACAGCAAAGGATTGACAAGCCTCCTTCTCAAACATTTGTTAAATTGTTAAATTCCAGGACAATATCCGCCAAACCAGCCTCCGAACCAGTCACAACAACAACAAGCGTCGAACCCACAACAACAACAGCAACAACATAATGCTCCTGCCTCCCCCCTACTCAATCCCTCGCACATGATGCACCACAATCACAATCCAAATGGAGGGATACCGCCGCATCTGCTGCCGCATCCGCATGAGCAAGTGCGCGTTGGTCTACTGCAGCCACCGATGGCGTATGCCCCCCAACAGGGCGGCTATCGAAATGGGGCACTGCTGGGTCCGGGTCCACCACTCCTGCCGCCAACTGGAATGCGTCCGCCACTGTATCGCAATGCTGGCCCGCCGCCATCTGGCTATGGCGGCTATGGCGATCACGGCCATCCGCCACCACAACATCCGCCACAGTTTATGCGGCCGCACAATGGCTGGAGGCCGCAGGGGGACGGCGCTCGCATGCCCCGTCCCCCGCTGCAGGCATTGCCACCACACATGATGCCAGGAGCGCCGCCCAACTATCCAAATGGGATGGTGGGAATGCGCGGGCCACCGCCTCAGCAGCAGCAGCAGCAGCAGCAGGTCCAGCAACAGCAGCAGCCGCCACCGCCTCAGCCAGTGCGGTCACCACAGCAACAGCAGCAGCAGCAACAGCCTAATCCTAATCAGCAACAACAGCAGCAGCCACAACCAAACGGCCCACCGCCACAACAGGGCGGTGGTCCAGCGGCTATACCGCGGGTCAGCAAGGTGCTGATCAATCCGAATTTCAAGGGCGGCGTCGAGGCAGCCACCAACAAGTTCATCAAGGAGACGCACTTCATGCCGGCCATCAACAGTGATGCGGAGCTGCTGCGTCAGCAGGAGGAGTTCATCAATAAGAATCGTCAGTACTTTGAGAAGCGGCGAATGGAGCGTTCCCCGCCGCCGGCTGGCTCCAGCTCGAGCTCTGTGGCACCCTCCTCCTCGGCCCAGGCTGGGGAGAGGAGACGCAGTCGTAGCCGCAGTCGTTCCCGTGGCCGCAGCTATTCGCCCACCAAGCGTGCCGAAAGGGACCGCGAAAGGGAGCGGGAGAGGGAGCGGGAGCGAGAGCGTGACCGGGAACGAGAGCGCGAACGGGAACAACGGTATGCGACGGCCAATCGCCCAGTGGGAAACCGTGGATTCCGACGTGTTGCTAGCCGCGATCGAGACGAGAATCGCAGTGGAGCGGGCGGCGCACCAGGAAGTGCCCCAGCACCCAGTGCCGGTGGAGGTGGAGGTGGCGGTGGCGGTGGCGGTACTGTTGTGCCATCCAAGAGACGTCGCAGCGGCTCGAACGGCTCTGTGAATCGTAACCCCTTTTCGGGTGAGCCACGCGGCCGACCCTCGGACATTGGCGGTGGTCGAACCGCTGTCAGTGGAAAAGTAAGATCCAACGAAAGAGAAAAACCCTTGGCTTTCCTCTAACCGATTCGCTCTTCCGTCTTGTAGGCCAGCGAGGAGGATGAGGAGACTCGCATCTACCGCCTGGAGATCGAGAAGCAGAAGCAGCTGCGGGAGAAAATTCTGCGCGACAAGGAGCTGAAGCGTAGGCGCGCGGCCGAGGAGAAGCTACATGAGGTAAGTGCCACATCCCAGACCTAAAGCAGCCTCAATCAATTTTGGTGTATTGGAATACCCAGTACACAGTCAGGGTGAATGTTTTATTTGAGAGACGGAAAGAACCAACAAGAAAACATAAACAACTTTTTAGGAAAAGCGCGCTGAACAGCTAATTTCACCAGGCCGTGAAGAGAAGGAGGCACCTGGTGCGGGAGCGGCACCACCACAAAAGCAACGTCCGGCAGCCGGCAGCCACGAGCGCAAGGTAATCTCCCTGAAAAGGCGCGAAGACCAGGACCCGGCAGGGGGCAATGGCAACGTCAACAGCGGGCGCAGCAGCAGACAGCAGCAACACCAACAGCAAACATCATCGGCGGCGCCCGCTCGTAAGCAACTGACCGCGGCCAAAATAGCGCCGGAGGCTAAGAGGAGTATAACCGAGCACCTGGCGCCCACCCCTAAGCCGCAGCAGCAGCAGCACCAGCACGGATCGGCAGCGGCTGCCGCCCAAGCAAGATCGAGTGGAGGCGGAGGTGGAGCTGGTTCTGGTACTGGTGGTGCGACACCGCCCACTACGTGCAAGCCACGCGATATGCTGCGTCTGGGCACGCCCAGCGACGATGAGGTTGAGCTTGACTACGATGACGATGAACTGATGCTGGATGAGGAGGATCGCCTTTTGGCCACACCCTCGCCACCACCACCGCAGCATCAGAACCAGCATCAGCATCAGCATAAGGCGAGCAGCAAGCGCTCGGCCACGCCCGAAATGTTGGTGGTGAAACGCACTCAGAAATCTGCTCGCGGTGGCAACTCGTCGTCAACGGGCAGCTTTGGCTCCTCCCATAGGCGGGTGGTGTTGAAGCCCACCAGCAATGGCAGCGGCGGCGGCGGCGGCGGTGGAGGAGATCACCAGCAGTCTTCGCATGGCAGGCAGCGGGATAGGCGACAGCGTGGGGATGACCATATACTGCAGAGGAAAGGGAGCAACGCGGGAGGCGGTAGCTCAGGAGGAGGCGGAGGCATCTTTGAGCGTCTGGAGAAGCGGAAGGCAGCATCCTCTGGAGGAAGCGGCGGCGGCGGTCACAAGCAGCGAGGCCGAGGGCCGGCCCGTATTGTACTCAAGCACGATTGAGGATTGCAGAAGACGGATTAAGGCAGCAAAGCTAGGATTAAGCTCAAAATTCAAATTGTAAAAGATAAATCGTTTTTTTTTCTATATAAATTCTGCGGATGATAAATGTTGCAGATAATGTTAGATTTTAAGCTCTAAAGTTGCAACACTTACAATTGTTTATAGGTAGATGTTAAGCCTTATGTTCGTGTATACGTTAAGCATATACATATACATATACATATACATATACATATACATATATATTTGCGCATACATATTATTTATAATACAAATATATATTGTATCTATTTACATAGATATAGAGATATTCAATTAGAATTTAAGTGTAAAGATCGTAAAACTATGACTAAAACGTGCTTCGTTTTCTTAACAACAACAACAAAAAAAAAAACAATTGTATTTATACTTAGAATTAAGAGTATGGGATATGCTTAAAGCTTGACCTGGAACATCAGCAAAAAAAAACGAAAAAGAGAGATAGCAAAGAAAAAATAACAAACAAATACAAATTTAGTGGAATGCAAACAAGACCATTGAAATGAATATATATATATATACATATATGTATGTATGTATTTATATATATATAAATCATAAAGGATATATGTATATATATAGGTAGTGTAATTAAAGTTTAGTTGCGAATGAGTGTCCCGTTCAAACAAATAGCTTCAATGAGATGTAGTCAGAGATGACTCTTACCGTCGCTTTGAACTAATTATGGAAAATTAAATTCAAATAGAACCCCGGCTGTAATCAGATGCGGCATTGTCTATTCTGATACTTTTTGTTATTGTAATTTTTTTTAATGTGTTGTTTTTTGTTTAGATTGTGTGTTTGCGTGTTTGTCCAATATAAATTGTAGCAAATAAGTCGAAACCATAAACCTGTAAGAAAAAAAGTACCCATAACAACTGGAATATTGAGCCCTAACTCTAGATTTACTAAAACTAAACTACACCCGAAGCTAAAGCTCTTGAATAATTGTTAAATGAGAGCTCGATCCCATCACAACCCATCCATTCTCCACCATTTTCATGTCCACTCTATATTCGCAGAGGAAAACTTACATTTACTAAATATATACCCCTTTAAGCGAGAGTCTTTGAGAGCCTTTAAGTCCAATCCAAGGACCACAGCCATAAACGACATTTACTATTCTTGTTAAATTATTACCACATAAAATCCACACGACACACAAACACAAAAAACTACACTACACTACACATATATTGAAACCGCTGAGAGACGTGTGAGAACTTTGATAATAGGCACGAAAACGTGTGTATATTTAAGCGAGGATTCAAGAGAAAAATAAGTTAATCCCATTCGAGCCTTAACGATAAGCTCCGATAAGTAAAGGATGTTAAAGAGTCGGAGGATGTATTGAAGCACCGAGATGAGATCGCAACGAGATAACCGGATAAAATGTAAACAAAGATATGAAAAGCAATGCAAAGATACATATACATACATATATTATGCCTACCTGTAACAATACACACAATACAGAATGCCGATATAATCTAATCAAAGTGAATCCTAAGGCGAAAAATGTAGGCAGTAGGAGCAGCAGTAGCTGGTTCCTCGGTTTGTTATTGTAACTTCTTGTCCTTGAGATGCTTTGTTTGAAATTTTATTAATGTGACACATATATCCACATATTACAAACATATGTATATGTAGATATAGAGATATGTATATGGAAGACAGTACACAAAGAAAGCTCGCAAAAGATTATTCAATTGGAATACGAAAGCGCATGCAAAAATAAATGAAACGGTATCGTATATGCATAGATACGTATATACGTATATAGCTCTAGTAATCGTAATGCTACACAATATGATAATATATGAATTAATAAAAAACAAATTATATTACATGCATACGTAAAAAACATGCAACCGCATAACTGTATAAAACATCTTAAGTTATTCCACGCCACGTGATTCTAGCTTTTTAAGAACAAAAAGACATAACTGAACAAAACCGAACCCACACTCGAAGTGGAATATACATAGTACATAACGAACATTGCAAAAGTAACGATTCCAATCCAATCCAAGCAAATCCGAGTCTGTGATTATTTTTATATTATTCTTATTATTACGCATAAACTACTACTACTACTACTACTACTACTATATTACTCTATGACATTAACTACTCGTAGCTATCCCTTAGACCGACACAACACACAGTCCCGCAATATACTATGTTTTTGTTTGTTTCTTCCCCCGACAACCCAACCACCAATCCACCTTTTAAGATCTGATACCTTATTGTTTTGTACACATCTATCATCTATGAAACTAGATACTAAGTGCGTCGCATAACTAGTACAATCTATGACACGAATCACACGTCCAGGCACCCAGTCTGCGTGTGACTCTTATGTATCTACTTAGCTGTAAGTCGCCTTTTTGGGGAGGGGGGATGGGTGGGGGCCTTCTATACACTATCTATCCAACACACTACACATTTCACCAGCTTCCTACAATTAGAGCTCTCTATTCATATCTATTCATACAATCCATGTACTTACCATACCATACACTTCTGTATAGTTAAGAACGTAGGCAGACATACAACTCGATGTTACTCTACTAGTCAAGTGAGTGTGTCCGTGCGTATGCGTGTGTGCGTGTGTGTTTTGCATACCCCCGATGTCTGCACGAACTTAATCGTATATTTATTATAATTTTAAGATACTCGTATCTACTATATGCATACATACACCTACGACACACACACCTAGATATTTTTGTTGTTTAGTTAGTTTTAGCAAAATGATTTTTTGTTTTTGTTAAAGTTTGTAACCTAATTATGTTTATAATTGTTGTAACCTCATCCCATACCCCTACTCCCACTCCTGCAGTCCATCAAGAATTGCTCGCCAGTGAAAGCGTAACTGTACCCCTACACACAATCTCAAGCCATCCCTTTCATATTCACTCACACACTCTATCGCTATCTTTTTCTCTTCTGCGCTCCGCTCGCCCGATGCCTACTCGCTCTGTCCCCACCACCAATACACCTACACCTGCACCTGCAGCAGAGCTCAACCGGAACGTAGAGATTCAGAGCGAGAACAAGAGCGAGAGCGAGAGGGAAAGCAGCATTATTTAGATTAATTTTACTCAAAGGATAATATCGAATATATGAAACCCTAAACTAATTTTCTTTCAGCACAAACCTCTGTACAAATCGAAAAAGAAAAAAGAAACATGAAAAATCGTACAAAAAAGAAAAGAATAATCAAAGCGAAACTAAAAGAAAAAAAGATTGAATGAAGTGAAAAGATCTAGAGTCAAAAAATCACACACTTAATAGTTAGAGATGGGGTGAGTGGCCCTGCCCTATCGTGAGGGAAGCCCGAAGCTGAACCTGATTCTGGGCAAAATAACTTTTGAAGAAGACTTAATAAAATTGATATATACACGAATGCATACATATATATAGCGGGAGAGACAGTCCTATATATATTTGTGTATACGTATATTTTTTACAGCAATCAAATTGATGCAATCTCTTTTCATTTTGCGGGCGGGTGATCTACTGATCTAGGTGTCTGGCATCTGCTCCTGTGTGTGCCCAAGTGCTCTAGTGCCCCTGGCATTGTCCGCCCCACAATTTGTGCCCCAACCTGGCTTCAATTATTCATTGTTTGGGTCTCTATCGGCATCGCCTAATTAATGGGATGGGATAGGAGATCATCATTAAACATCGAAAAGAGTGACTCACAGACTTGTCACATCCAATGCGGCGTTGATTCATTGCTGGAACTACGTCAATGGAACTATGTATTCCCATCCTTTGTGATTTTTTAAGAGGGTCACAGTCATAATCACGTCTCAGAGGTACGCAGAAGTCTACTAGTATAAAGATTTGTGTAGTAGTCTAGTCGGGTTTTCCGCTCTCTGATGTAGGCAACAAATTATCCCTTTCTATGCGTTTTCCTTGCACAAAAAGTTTTTCTTTTCGAAGTTCTATTTTTCTTCCTCCTGAATCTCTTGAACAATATGTGAAATTTCTTCTTCCATTATCTATTAATTCATCTGTCCCACATTGATCCATCCTTTTCCATCTGTTATTCCTTCCAATATAGTCTTGACAAATCGATACAGATATTTTCTCACTGACATTTTTTTGCTCTATCTAGTGTTGTGTCTCGTGCACTTCTTACGAGAAGTTGGGAAGTTGACGTTCAACGGCTGGGCATCATAAGGTGGCATCATAAGGCATCAAACCGAAGACTGTTCCGGGCGACACATATAACTTAACCGATCGTGTACATGCAGAAAGAAAGGATATTAGACTAATGATCGAGGAAAATTAGAACAAAACTTAACTACTAAGCATACTGAAATATTACAAATATTAATACTACTTAATTACGGGCATTGTATATTAGTATTTTAAAAAGAGAAAGGGGAGTTCGTTGTAGATATAATGTGGTATAGGAAATTATAATTCGAGCATTAACGATTAATGCAAGGGTACCATATAGTTACTGGTGAATGTAATATGAATAGTGACGCTTATGAGTCTCAACAAGCCAGGGCTATATGTATACGTCAACCGTTGATCACACCAGGCTTTTTTTACGATTAACCAAGAATGGAAGGATTAAAAAGGAAGGTTTAGGTAAAGAATCCGTAAGGAGTCTGTAACAAAGTAAGCAGAAATCTTTTAAGACCAAGATCATCACGTAATCAATAGGAATAAAGATATTGTAAAGAAACATCACGGTAAAGATAGACTACCATCAAAAAAGATGACAGTCGCTAAGAATTCAGCGATCAAAGTTTGATTCTTATTTCCTTTTCCTTTGTTTTATGCCAAACATCTCTGTGCTGGTCTCCCTTTGCTGTCCCCTGTCGCCTTTTCCATACGAATACCATATCCAGCGCCAGGATCTAGTAAAGGGGCTGTTATAGTTGACCGATTTGTGTGGTTGGAAGAAGCTTAAATTGTGTGGTGTGAAATAAGCTAAACAGTGCCGGAATGGCTTTAGGACAAGATAGGGTCGGAGCTCTGCAGTATCAATTAATGCAGGGCCCGGCAGCGTCCTACGCGCAGTGCATTGGGTAGTGTTCTGCTGCAGCGCTGCCGCTCACCAGTACATTGTTCCGTTCTGCTGCTGTCAACGCACAAAAACGCACTAAAATATGCGTGTCAACCTATGATTCAATGTA